GACAGTCAGTACTAACTGACAATAGACATGCCCATGCCGTTACGATAGTCATTACTAACTGACACTAGATATGCCCATGCCGTTACGACAGTCATTATTAACTGACACTAGACATGCCCATGCCGTTATGATAGTCATTAGTAACTGACACTAGACATGCACATGCCGTTACGACAGTCAGTACTAACTGACAATAGACATGCCCATGCCGTTACGATAGTCATTACTAACTGACACTAGAAACGCCCATGCCGTTACGACGGCCAGTACAAACTGAATGTTTACCACTAGACGAGCACATGCCGTTACGACAGTCAGTTTTACAGAATGTTTGACACTAGGCATGCACATGCCGTTACGATGGTCAGAACAAACTGGATGTTTGCCACTAGACATGCCCATGCCGTTACGACAGTCATTACTAACTGACACTAGACATGCCCATGCCGTTACGACGGCCAGTACAAACTGAATGTTTACCACTAGACGAGCACATGCCGTTACGACAGTCAGTATTACTGAATGTTGGACACTAGCCGTGCACATGCCGTTACGATGGTCAGTACAAACTGAATGTATGCCAATATACGAGCACAGGCCGTTCCGATGGTCACTACTGACTGAATGTTTGACACTAGACATGCCCATGCCGTTACGATAGTCAGTGCTAACTGAATGTTTGACACTAGCCGTGCACATGCCGTTACGATGGTCAGTACAAACTGAATGTATGTCAATATACGAGCACAGGCCGTTCCGATGGTCACTACTGACTGAATGTTTGACACTAGACATGCCTATGCCGTTACGATGGTCAGTACAAACTGGATGTTTGCCACTATACGAGCACAGGCCGTTCCGATGGTCATTACTGACTGAATATTTGACACTAGACATGCCCATGCCGTTACGATGGTCAGTATTAACTGAATCTTGCCACTAGACGTACACTTGCCGTTACGATAATCTGTACTAACTGAATGTTTGCCACTAGACGTGCAGATGCCGTTACGATAGTCAGTACAAACTGGGGGGCGGTGGGGTAGCCTAGTGGTTAAAGCGTTGGCTCGTCACGCCGAAGCCCCGGGTTCGATTCCCCACATGGGCACAATGTGTGAAGCCCATTTCTGGTGTCCCTAGCCGTGATGTTGCTGGAATATTGCTTAAAGCGGCGTAAAACTAAACTCAGTCAGTCAGTCAGTCAGTACAAACTGGATGTTTGCCACTGGACGTGCACTTGACGTTACGATCGTCAGTACTAAATGAATGTTTGCCACTAGACGTGCACATGCCGTTACGATAGTTAGTACTAACGGGCACTCGTGAAGAGCAACCTCCTCGTGGTGAGTGCTGGGTAACGCTCATAGCTCTTTCCCCGAGTGGAGCCGGGACAGAATAGGCCTACAGCACCCCATTTCTGGTCGTAAGAGGCGACCGAATTGGGCAACCTGTTTGCCGCGGGTTGCGCCCCTGTGGCGGTGGAGGAACGGATTCTGGTGTTGGAGGGCAAAGGAGTCAGGAACAGTGTTCCTTTTGTCTAACACATCACTTCGACCCTGACTTCACCTAGACGGGTGACTCTGTCCTTGTTGACATTCCATGGTGGGTGGGGAGAAGGGGTGCTGAATCTCTTTCCTTTAATCATGTTTCCAAATATTTCTGAAACTTGGAATTATAATTTGGTGATGATGAATGTTTTGATAAAGTTTCACCCAGCTTTTTTTTGCGATTTCAGTCTTTTTTCTCCTGTTCTTTCTGGTGTTTCTAAAACATAATTGGATGAAATCGAATGCTTGTCGAGAGTGTCACCAAGTTTGTTGGCTATGTCAGCTTTATCAGTTAATGAATTATCACCGTCCTTCAAATAGGGAACGGTAGATTTTGAACTTTTGCCCTTTATTCTTTGTACCATGTTCAACACCTTGGAAATGCGTGTGCGGGAATTTATTTTAGAAACATAACTTTGCCAAGACTGACTCGTATTCTGTTTAAATGCGCGTCGTGCCTTGGCATTTGAGAATTTAACTTTATTTAAATAATGTACTGTAGTATGTCGGCAAAAATACTTTTCAACTTTCTTCCTACACTTTCTGGCCTGTTTACATTCATTATTGAACAATGCTTTACGAATATATGGAATTGCAGAGGACTGTGGTATTGTTCTGTCAGCAATGACATTACAGATATCCGACAACAGCTGTATAGAAACCTCACTATTGATGAAAAGGTCATGTTTCAATTGTTCAATACATAGAGTCTGGGAGGTCCTGAGAGGACAGTGTGACCTCCATGTCAAGAGGTCCAAATTGGTTCTCTAGAGGAACCTTTGAATGTGAAAGCACAGTAGGTGGTTTGTCTTTATTTATGTTTTTCTTTTCGCTTTCTTTGGCTTATCTATGGCTGGTTGTGAAGCTGACGATCAGATGTTTTTGTAACAATTTCGCATTTTATAATAATTGTTGATTTAGAAGATATATAGTTTGGTTTGTTCAATTTCCGGGATTCATTGGAATTCAACATAGGCAAATTTAGTTTAAAACCGACGGCGTTAGCTGACGTTTTAAACGCTAAAATTTGCCTATGTTGAATTCCAATGAATCCCGGAAATTGAACAAACCAAACTATTTATCGATATTGTAAACCAATTTGTAGTCAGAAGCCTTTTTCCAAGGAGCTCTTTGAATGTAGCGCGATCGTGTGTCGCAATGCGGTTAGCCTCTCGTGGTCAGGTTCGCTGTCGCCCCAGATACGAGAAACGACGAAAGAAGGGTTACGCTATTATCTAATGGGGGAGATAGGTTACGTCATGTTCGAAATGAATAACTGTCAATATAATACACAAAACTAAATGTATTCAGTCCTTTTTAAATTTAAACTTGATGAGTAACATTACAATCTCAATTACTGCAATACCACTGGAATTGCAATGACCATGAAAGAATTCCATTTTATGCTACCATCTCCACCTCATGTAATCTTACGTAGACTGGTCCAATCAAGGATGACCACAAGGATTTGATCGTGTAAAGTTAGGCCTACTGTCGATTAACGAAGCTGACATTTATGGTAGAATTGTGTATGCCCTGAAACATTCCCATCACGGACACAATTGAAGAACTTTGCAAGTGTGAAAAGGGCCAAGATGATGAAACAGTGGCAACGGCACGAGAATCGACGCGTTGGCGATCAGACCCCTGCAAAATGGCCGAGTACGACCTCTTCTGTACACTGCTGGATTCGGTGCAGTATGATTATAAACTTTCAACTCGATTCCGGCATGGGATAGCAGAATGACGGCTGTTGCGCGAAGGCAGTGATTTGTGTATGTGTGTGGCAACTTGGCATTCTTGGATATGTTTTTCATCATTTGTGACAGTGAATTTTTGCCAACGCATCGTGACTGAAGTGAGGTGTACCCAACAGAATCGCGGATATCGACGACAGATTTCGGATGTTGAAAGAACGATTCATTATTGGGATTCATGTGGAATTTGTACAATTTGAAGGATGAAACCGGACACAAAAGGTAAGATTTCAACATTTTTAATTGTTTTGATATGCTTGGGCTTGTGTCAGTGGGATTTCCTAGACTGCATTAGTACCTTTTCATTATTACCGATTAGTATTTATTTTTTTGCTATTTTAGTATATCATGATATTATCATTCAGTGTTAGATCAGATGTAAATCATGTTGAAAGCTGTTTTTGAGAAAAAATAACTATATTTGCTTTTATGCCTTTGATAATTCTGTTTAGAAGCCGTGTGACAGTCTAGCGAAAGGGAGGTAACTAACATGTAACTTCCTTTTTGGTTTGTTTACAAAATGTTAAACGATGCACACCTCTGAAGAAAATTGTGTTTCTCTCAGTTGCTTTCGAAAATGACCCATCAATTATTTCCCTCAGGCCATTCTCATCAACCTTAGCAAAGCGGGACTGTGGAGGGACGATCGGTGTACAAGATGGAGCCGGGTCAGCGTTAGCGCTGGAATTTCGAAGTGGAAACGTCCGGAGTGCTGGGATTGGTGTATTTTGGAAGATCAATATCTAGAAACAAGTATCATTAACTTATTCTTTGGCTCAAAAATAATGTTTAAACTTGGAATATTGTACCAAATTATATACACGAATGCTTGAAATTTGCGGAGCAGTTCATTTGTGAATAAACATCATTGAAGGATATTATTTTATGGCTCTTTAATCACTTTACTATTATCTGATCACATATGATTATGTGCCATGTGATTGTATTCACCATCATCTTTGAATAATTCTTCCAAGAATTTGTCGTCTTCAAAGATTGTATCAAAATCCCAGAGAAAGAATTTGAGGTGGAAATGTTCCTCAATTATGCAAATTCATGCAGCGAAAATAGTACGGTATTAGTGCCAACGTATTAATGTGCGGTTATTAGGCCATCATTTTTCAGGTATGTCGAACAATATTCGACAAGGGTAATTAACCAATCAGATTGCGGAAAGCACTCACTATTGGTTTACAATGGAATTGACAAGAAATTGAGATCGACATTATTTGAGAGGTCAACATCACCAGATTGGCCATGAGCCACCACCTTCTGGCATATGACTCTAAGCGATATAATATCATGAATATTTTGAATTTAGTAAAGCTAAAACCAAACAATATATAAGATATGTACAATATTACTCCCTATGCACAGGGCTTGGCGTGGCCAGCCGATTGATAGAACCGGTCCGACTCTACCACCATTTAGGTGAAGTCAAGGCCAAAGTGATGTGTTAAGCAAAGAGAACACGTTTCCTGGCTCCCTTCCTCCACCCACACAGGGCACAACCCGCGGCAAACAGGCTGCACAATTTGTTCGCCTTTTACGACCAGCAATGGGGTGATGTCTTGCCCCGGGTCCGCACGGGAGAAGAGCTATTAGCGTTACCCAGCACTTACCACTAGAAGGTTTGTCTTCACGAGTGCCAGTATATCATGGAAATGTTTATGAATAAGAGAAAGCAAACAATTCATTATTCTCCGGCATTTTATTTGTGACAATTTATGCGATTGTGAAGTACACATCTTCACACAACACAGCTGATGAGCCCATGTTTACATTAAATCTGGCACAGTAATCCCCACCAGGAATGGACGGGACTTGGACAGGAAAGTTGGATCTTGAAGGACATAATGACCCTGCATGGATGAAAGATAAGAAATACAATAATTATTCCGGTTCTTATTCAATAGCAGCTGCCAAGTAAGAAATGATATGTAAATTTGTCGGTCACAGCGGTTGCTGGTAGCTCAACAGGAGACACCTGGAAAACAAAGACTTTGTGGTTGGGTTGATTGATAATTTGATCTCGAGCTGATACGTCTCGTAATTGTCATGTTGGTTGTGTGATGATATTAAATGCTACGTGGCTATAGATAAGACCTGAAATCAAAGGATGTGTATTGAGGACTTAAAGGCACTATATCACCCCACACATCTCTAAAAAAATAAATAATGCATTTCTCTCAACAATACTAGATACCACTCGTATAATATATTCTTTAAAACATACGTATTTAGATTACAATATTAAATTAAAAAGTTCGAATGAATTAATGCAACGTTGCATTAAATCGACTCTCGCGCCATCTACCGCCGAACAAAGAGTTATGTCCTTTTGAGCGCTCTTTACGAATATCCTACGCACAACTTGTGATTAAAACCAGTTCGGCAAACACCGACAACACCGCGTGCGACAGTTTTCGATGAACGAAGGTTTTTTTTACATTCCATATATGGCAAGTGTTATCTGTTTGGAAGCAGTTCCCCTCGAAGTTTCACTTGTCGATTTCAGGCAAGTCGTAAGGGCTAAAAAGTCTTTTATTGCATCAATAGGACGCTAGAGTGAGTGCATCAGAAGGAAACAGGGACACATGCCTCACGGTATGTCTGATAAGCCAAAGAATATCAGGTAAAACTGGAAAATTAACTTAACTGACACAGGTCCATAATACATGAAATTCAACTTGATGAGTAGGAAAAAGGAAATGATTGTGCTTACTGTGGTAACCGGACACATGCAGGGAATGTTGTTGTCAACGAAGACTTGAGGGCATTTGTGGTCTTGCAGGAGAACACACGCGGCATCATAAGAAATTTCCCTCACGTTTACCCATACAAACAGGATTTTCATCCATACTGTCACATGAACCTGAAATAAAAGTATGCAAGCAGTAGATCACACCCTGCTCCCGATGATGGCATTATTCGTAGAGCTTCAAAACAGATATTTCCATTTTCACCTTAGTGGTTAGCAAGAAAATTTATCCAAATTCAGCCGTATTGTTTTCAGTATATATGTTCTTATTAATGAGATTGTCTGGAATTCTACAAAACATACACATATATCCACCCTGGGAAGGTGATAAGGACGTTCACTTTAAAAAAATCTGAAAATTTCGGTTCAGTGTTCAACCAGTGCGATTTAATATACATGAATTGTGCACTACATACTTAGTGGGCTTTTATGAATGATAATAATAACACCTAATATGCTATACTGATGATAACCGTTATCTACAAAGGATGAAATAAATGTGTTTGGCGTGGATAAACATTACCTTGATCGGTGACTGCAACTCTTGCTTGACATCCACATTGAAAGCAAGATTAATGCTACCCGGAAGTGCAATAGGATCAGGGCCAATTTGTAGTGTATTAACTGTCACGACACCTGAACCACATGTGGAATGAGAGAAACTGTGAAGTACTTGACGTTTGCTGTCTGACGTCACCTATGATCAGACAAACTGAGAAAATTAATCAACAATTAAGACATACCTTGACAAATGTATATGTTTAGTGCAACAGTATTAATGTTTATTTGTTTGAATGACATGCGTATTCAATATTTATATGTAACACGTTTGACGAATCTGTCATTAATTGTAGTTTGAGTGAGTGAGTTTAGCAGTTATAGTGTTTCCATTATGAATATATTCGATGAATGAAAACTTCAAATTTTACACTTAGGATACACTGACATTTATTTCAACATGAGTGAGTGAGTTTAGTTTTACGCCGAACTCAGCAATATTCCAGCTATATGGAGGCAGTCTGTAAATTATCGAGTCTGGACCAGACAATCCAGTGATCTACAGCATGAGCATCGATCTACGCAATCGAGATACGATGACATGTGTCAACCAAGTCAGCGAGCATTATCACCCCATCCCGTTTATCGCCTCTTACGACAAGCATGGGTTACTGAAGATCAATTCTAACCCGGATCTTCACGGGTCAGTTGTAGTTTGAGGACAATGACAAATTCACGTGGCTTTCACAAAAACAGACCAGCACATGCAATATTTTGTGCACACAGTGTGAAGAGCATCGTCTACGACCTTATCATGCTTGCTGCAGGACTCATTACTGGAAGCACTGTGAGCTCCTGAGATGAGGAAGAGAAGAGCAAATATTGTTGATGCCTCCATGTTTCCCAAACGAGGTTTGTGTCAGGATGAATCCCAACCAACCCACATTTATATCTGCCATATACCAGAAACATATCACTGCTTGAATACTCAAAATGTTTGGGAGGATGTAGAAAACGTCAGGATGCACTCTATAACAAGAGTGAACTATCCGATACTGAGCCAACCTAAGACACGCCCAATTTTGGGTGCTTCTATTGGTGCATTTGGTCACTACCCAAAATGTATGTGTAAAGTATTTGTGAAAACAATGGGCAGTGCTGCAGGGGGGCGTGCCAGAGATTTGTATTCATGTGTTTCAACCGCCCTCAATATGTTTCTTGATCTGTCAGTACATTGTGTGTTCGTGTCTCAGCAAAGGGAATTTGCACCACACTACAGCTGAGTCACTAGTAAGGTAACATAATAGCATTGCGTCCACATTTTATCATTCCGGTTACAGTGACGATGGGCTTTGCTAGACGGCAAGTCAAACGGCAGTTTAGTACAAGCATGTGAAGAGACACTGGGTAGTGCATTGTAATTTCGTTACGACTGAGAGGTAATAATTAATGTAGTTTTTCGGAAAAAAATACTGATTCTAAGCCAGATCCGGGGGATTCAGTTTCGCGAGCTTCATGTAATGATCGGAAATACTCTCCTATTTCAAAGAACTGAAGAGAAACAAGAGACCAGGAAATGACTTTTATTACTTATTTGATTAAAAAATCGAATTATGGAAGAAACACTCATGTAATGGGTTAACAATTTGAATGAGAGAGTGAGCTGAATGAGGGTCGTGGGGGTGGGACGAGGGTGGGACAACGGTAGGAAGTAAAGCTACTCTCATAAGAGAGACAGTGTCATGGTAATTCTACTTGCAATCTGACTCACTCATGTCATCGGAATTCCTTATGTTACTGTTGATCTTCACAAATGAAGTTCATCACGTGACCTGTATGAGTGTCATTCATTGCTTGAGTGCTTGTACCTCGGAGTCTGTGTGCAGTGTACGTATTTGACAGGGTTATGGCCCGGGAAAGCGAATCTGGAGCAAACCTCCTCAATTTACGTGTCGCTTTCGCGGGTACGGTCAAGCTACAGTGAACACTGAATTTAGCGTTCCCGGGACTCTCAATACACAAGAAAAACAAAGAAACGTGAGTCGTCGTCTGATACCGTAGCCATGGTAGAATTTAATAGATAAATAAATACATTTAACATTAGCAAGCCATGGACATTTTATTTTGATGTACATTAGTAGCAAGTTTAAACCAAACTGAAATTATTCACTGTTTAATATATACAAAGATAGGAATTCGCCCAGTCTCTCCGTAGAGCATTTAGGATGGTGTACTCTTGCATAGTTTCAGGACAGATTTCATGAATAGCCTGTGAACATTGTCTAAAATGTCTATATTTGAATATCCCCACACCTCGCAACCATATAACATGATTGGTAGGATCATGCAGTCAAAACATTTAAACAAACAATCGATAGATATGTGGAGATTTCTAGCCTTTGGGGGGATAATAAACACTACTTTTTATGCTTGGTCGTAAAGTTGGGCTTTACGTCACATCGGCATTATTCCAGCCATTTAAGTGACGAAATCAAGTCTGCATTCATAAACATTCTAATACTTGAAAAAAAGTTTAACTTCTTTGAGAGGCATTTAGAAGTTGGAGCAGTAAGGAAGGATAACAATATATGGATGAACAACTTCTTTATTGCTGTGAGAGCGACGTTTCGGTGTAGGTTCTAACACTGCTATCAAGCAAGTGAAGAGCAGCATAAGGATGAAGGAGCATATATACAAGTTAGAGCAGATGTTTGTACAGTACAATGGGGATTAGGAAGCCAGACACAATAACAACACAAAGGCTTAGATGAACGCATTAACACATGAAGCCTGCAAAGTAAACAATGGGAGGTGGAGCCTGTGATATACATAAATAGGCGATAAAGAGGATGATGCGTTGTATACATAAATGGGTTTTTTTTCGATGATGGGGATCTTTAATGGGCTGGTAGTACGCAGGAGGTATGTAGTAACCTTGGTCACGGTTGATTGATGGCTGGAGTCTTTTGATGTAGATGGCTTCTTGGAGTTTCCTGAGTTTATAGTCTTTGAGGTTGGTTTTAGGGTTTGGGTTTTGTCCCAATGGATATTGTGGTGGGGATTTCTTTGATGTGATCTGAAAGGGCTGATTTTGAGTCTAGTTTGGATACTGAGGTCTGATGTTCTGTTCTGGAGGGGGTCATCGATAAACCCCCCATTTATGTATACAACGCTTCATCCTCATAATCACCTATTTATGTATATCACAGGTTTAACTTCCCATTGTGTACTTCGCAGGCTTCATGTGTCAACGCGTTCATCTAAGACTTTGTGTTGTTATTGTGTCTGGCTTCCTAATCCCCATTGTACTGTACAAACATCTGCTCTAACTTGTATATATGCTCCTTCATCCTTATGCTTTCATCACTTGCTTGATGACGGTGTTAGAACCTACACCGAAACGTCGTCGCTCTCACAGCAATATAGAAGTTGTTGTCCATATATTGTCATCCTTCCTTGAAAAAAAGTTGACGGAACTTTGACAAATTTGGCCAGGAACAATAAGGTTCTTTTAACAATGATAATAATTCATTACATGAATTAATAAAACTATAGTTAAATAGGGTCACGTACGTGCTGAAACTTGAAACAACTGAAACGTCATCTCAGTTAAGCGGCTCACAGATCGAGTATTGGGGTCGCACGCTAATCTGATGTACGGTAATGCAATGTTTTCATAGCAATCCGCTTTCGCGGCACATCTAGCACAACTTTGGTTTTCGCTTTACCGGGAATAGGGAATATTGAAATTTCGCTTTCCCGGGCCGACACCATTTGTGTGTTTAGTTTTACGCCGCTTTAAGCAGTATTCCAGCAATATCACGGCGGGGAACACAAGACTGACTGACTGACTGAGTATGGTTTTACGCCGCTTTTAGCAATATTCCAGCAATATCACGGCGGGGGACACCAGAAATGGGCTTCACAACTTGTACCCATGTGAGGAATCGAACCCGGGCCTTCGGCGGACAAACGAATGCTTTACCCAATGGTCTACTCCATCGGCCCTGTATGTATTTGTACAGCCAGCATTGCAGCCACCCCAACGTCACCAGGTCTGGAAGTTAAATTTAAACTTGTGAATTTTACATGTACCTTGCTATAACTATTTATGCTTGTGTTATTCCATCCGTAAACCACACGTGAAGATCCGGGTTAGAATTGATGTTCTGTACCCCGTGCTTGTTGTAAGAGGCGACCAACGGGATCGGGTGATCAGACTCTCTTACTTGGTTCACACATGTCATCGTATCTCAATTGTGTAGATCCATGCTCATGCTGTTGATCACAGGATTGTTTGGTCCAGACTCGATTATTTTTACTGACCGCCTCCATATAGCTGGAATAGCGCTGAGTGCGGCGTAAACCTAAACTCACTCATTCAGTCATCCGTAAACAAAATTATACACAATGTACACTCGTCTAACACAATGTACATATAAACTGTAGCATAACTCAGCTGACTGATAATAAAATAACTTGAAGTTATCTCCCTTACACTACAGATCGTTTCGTTGAATGTTATCGAATGAAAGCTTGGTAGTGGTAAAGTTCTTGGAAAAAAACTACTTTTCCATATTTCCTTACATATGAGGGGCGGTGGGGTAGCTTAGTGGTTAAAGCGTTGGCTCGTCACGCCGAAGACCCGAGTTCGAATCCCAACATGGGTACTATGTGTGAAGCTCATTTCTGGTGTCACCCGCCGTTATGTTGCTAGAATATTGCTAAAAGCGGCGTAAAACCAAATTCAGTGAGTCAGTCCTTACATATGTGCAGGTTGACTTTTCACTTTATTTTAGCCACTGGGAAATTTAGATCAGTTTTAATTAGTTGGTTGTAGGCTTGGTGGTACATGTGGTCAAAGGCTCTGGAAAGCTCGGGGGTATCTTCTGTCGTAAATGCCCTCGACGCCGGCCATTGTCTCCAGACCGAAATCTTCGTCAAGAAAATCCATATTACCTACACTCAGATTACCATTTAGGACATCGGAATTCATAATGAAATTACCCGTGAAGATCCGGGTTAGAATTAACTAACAGGATCGGGTGCACGTGGTCAGACTCGCTGACTTGGTTGACACATGTCATCGTATCCCAATTGCATAGATCGATGCTGCTGCTGATCACCGGGTTGTCTCGTCCAGACTAGATTCTCCATTTAACTGGACTATTGCTGAGTGCGGCGTAAAACTAAACTCACTCACTCACTCATGTTGGCATAAATGTCAATGTGTCGTAAGTGTAAAACTGGAATATATTCATAATGGAAACACCAGCACGGATACTTTTTGAATATCTTACTCTGATTGACAAAATGCTGTAAAATGTATTGAAAATGATAGGCATAAATGTATGGTGAACATTTGATAAGAATATCTCCATATATATATTCTCGTACGATAATGATTTGACTGAACCCAGTTATGTTCGCCATTCTTTGAGTGGCATTTTAGAAGTTGGGAAGTACAATATAGAACAAACTTTATGGATAACAACTTCTTTATATTCGTGAGTGCGACGTTTCGATACAGATTCTTGTACCGTTGTCAAGCAGGAATTGAACATGAGTGAGTGAGTGAGTGAGTGAGTGAGTTTGGTTTTACGCCGCTTTTTGCAATATTCCAGCAATATCACGGCGGGGGACACCACAAATGGGCTTCACACAGTGTGCCCATGTGGGGAATCGAACCCGGGTTTTCGGCGTGACGAGCGAACGCTTTAACCACTAGGCTACCCCACCGCCCCAAAGGAACATGAAGAAGGGGGATGTATATATATACTGAATGTAACAATGTAACAAAGAAAACAACATAATTCACATAATTGGCTAGGCAGTAAGCTGATGAAGCCAGAGAGTAGACAAAAGACAGACGTGGAAGTCAATGATGTACATGAAGCCAATGAACTTTGTTCTACATTTCGATT